TTTTATTCCTTGTCTTATTTCCTAAAATAACTGCACCGTTTGAAAGCTATCCTGCCAACAACCATACTATTTTCTAATCTTTTCCTAGTTTACTAATAGCCAACATTCACTTCGTGTTGGAAAGGAAAATGAAAAACATGAAAGTCTTTTTAGTCTTCAGATAACTCAAAACCTCTAATTCTGATCAGATCCAACAGATGGCAGTGATGTTATAAATTAACAGCTTAAAATATTCTTGTAATGTGTGGAATCTGCTCCTCAGAAGAATGTCAACCACGGGTGATAATTCCCTCACTATTTGCGTAAATCATGTACAACTTTAATATGAATAATTGGACAGGAGAGCGCAAGTAAAGATCACCTGAAATTTCGCTGAGATGCTATTTCCTGGACCAAAAATCAACAACTTTCTCCTTTCCAAGAAGTATTACAAATGGAGAATTGTCAGAAAGATTAGCAGTGAACGAAGCAAGGAGACGTGCCCAAGGTGACTAAATGGGTTACCTTTTCATATGGAATTCATTATTGCTCTTAGGTTTCTTTTTTCATCTATTTCTTCCTACGAGGGTTGTCTTAGCCTTCTCACTTTTTATTTATTCGCTTAAAAATGATTTCACTTTTCTTTCTCCTTCTATCACTTTAAATAAGCAAATATGGTTAGGGGCACCTGGGTGGCCCGGTCGGTTAGGCGTCTGACTCTTGGTTTCAGCTCAGGTCATGATCTCACAGACCTTGAGATTGAGGCCCACATCGGGCTCTGGGCTCACAGTTCAGAGCCTGTTTGGGATTCTCCCTCCCTTTCCCTCTCTCTCTATGCCACCCCCCAACGTGCTCGCTCATGCTCTCTCTCTCTCTCTCAAAAAAAATAAACATTAAATAAAATAAGTTAATCTGGCTGTTCTTGTCCTTTTTTTCCTATGCCTTCAAATTGTTATTTTTTTTTTAAATGTTTGTTTATTTTTGAGAGAGAGTGAGAGTGTACGAGTGGGGAATGGGTAGAGAGAGAGGGGGAACAGAGGATCTGAAGCAGGCACTACACTGTCAGTACAGAGCCCGACACAGGGCTTGAATTCGCCAATGGCAAGATCATGATGAGCCCGTCGGCCACTCAACCAACTGAGCCACCCAGGGGCCCCTCAAATTGTTAATTTTATTTGTGTTCATGGCCTTTCCATATTTTTATCCACTTTAAGTGATCTTTACCCTGCAGATAATAAAGAATGAATAGTACAAATAGAAAAGTCTTAGAGGTAAGTTTCCACTGTTGCTTCTGTGATCCAAATCATGTAAAAACACAACAATACAAACGATCACTTTCTGTTCTCAGTTATGGGCATTGGTTGATGTCAGACCCTCTGGTTTTTCACTGTCCTTTCACTTTCCGTCGCATTTTCGGTATAAGTCCACTTTCCCCCCAAAATCCGTTGTTACATAAAGGAAATTATGCCAGCATTACGTGTAATCACAACATACCAGAGATCACTCAACGCATAAAACTGGCCTCCAATTCCAGAAGGTGCCCTGACTTTAAGAATTAGAAATCCAGGGGCTCCTGGGTGGTTCGGTTGGTTGAGCCTGTGACTCTCCATTTCTGGTCAGGTCGTGATCTCACAGTTTGTGAGTTTGAACCCAACATCAGGCTCTGTCTGCACTGGCGGCAGAGAGCCTGCTTGGGATTCTCTTTCTCTCTCTCTCTCTCTCTCTCTCTCTCTCTCCCCCTCCCCTGCTCTCTCTCAAAATAAATAAATAAACTTGAATAATAAAAAATTTAAAAAAAATAATTAGAAATCCACTTTAGGCACATTGAGATATGAATGTCAGAGAAGAGGTTGTCTTCTAACAAACACAATTAGTATTCACAATGCTTAATTGCAAATTTTTCTTTTTAATTAGGCTGGCAATTATCAGGTATCCGAACAGCTACCCAGTGCACCTGGAAGACATTAGCTCTGGGTTTTTGCCTTTTCTTACTACTTAGGTGTGGCAGAAAAGCAACATTCTTTCTAGGCCCCAGTCGCACCCCCGCGGCAGCAGGGACAACTCGGGCGCCCCCCCCCCCCCCGGCCCCCCCCCCCCCCCGGGGCGCCCCCCCCCCCCCCCGCTCCCAGCAGCTAGGAAAAGTGATCCAAGGCCCTGCTTCTAAAACGTGATGCCAGAAATATTCACCAACGCAGAGTTTAAGCTAATATGTTTTTAAAGACAATCTGAGTAGAATACACTTTTGATTAAAAATAATCAATCGTGGTTACTGTCTCTTCTGTTTTGGTTCTAATTAATGCTCTAGGAGGCTTGCTAGAAGTATGGGCCATGTGGTTTATTTGTTTTCGTTCCTTTTGGTTGACTGTAGAATCTTTGCCAACTCCAGTCTTCAGCATTTGGCACAAATATGTCAAATCTGACTCCATTTCCTCCCCCAAAACATTCATTTTCAGTATCTCTTAGCTCAAAAAGTCCAAAGTAAAAAGTATATAGGTCTCAAGAGAGACAGATATCCATAGCCATAAGAGATATCTCAAGAGACAACCATTTTCATTCACACCCCATGTCCCATTCCAAACACATATTGAAAAAAATGATCAGAACGGACAGTATATAATAGGTTAAAGAAACACCTGCCATTAAAATTTTATAAAAATGAAAATAAATCACAAAAATAAAGAGATGCGTGGCATCATTTAGTCTTAGTTGACCTTTCTATGTTGACAACATGGAACCATAGAGTCGGATGACAAAGTTCTGTGTAACAGATGACTGAATTGCAAGAGAAAGTCTGAAGCAGCCTCTTTCAGAAGCTACTTAACATCCTAATTTTCTATGATTTTGTATAAAACTGTGAAATTATATAAGCCAGGCAAACTCACATCAAATTAAGACATCTATACACTCTGGAGGCCTATTAAAGTATTTTAGATAATATATCAATCTAAATGCACCCAAGATAGAAGTGTTTTAATGTCACTGGTAAGACTTTTCACTGGCACCGCTATCCTGGAACAATGCTATTTTCAAATTGCTGCTTATTATGACTCAATATTCTAGAAATTTGTGTACTTTCACATAGATAATGATGACCCTGAATTTAGGAGATTGCTATGTCAAAGATTGGAGCTATTAAAGGAACACAGTTTTGTTCTGATGCTTATCCTATTTTGGCTGTATTTTAATCGGGCATTGTTAGATTTTTAGTCATTCCATTAAGATCTCATAAAATACTGTGTGGGAGTAGAGAAAGGGAAAGAAAGGGTAGGAAGGGTAAGAAATAGATTAAGTATATGATGGAGGTAGAGGTAGATCGATTTCAAGTTAGAAAAAAATAATCTCAGCCACAATGCCATAAAGCAATAATACACAAAAGTTAATAACTTACGTATTGTGATGGTGGATTTTATGTGTCAACTTGACGGGGCGAAACAATACCCAGATAGCTGGTAAAATATTATTTCTGAGTGCATGTGTGAAGGTGTTTCTGGAAGAGGTTAACATTTGAGTCAGGAGACTGAGTAAAGGTGGCCCTCACCAATGGGGGTGGGCATCATCTAATCCGTTGAGGGTCCGAATGGAACGAAAAGGTGGCAGGGTGAATTGCTCTCTGCCTAAGCTGGAGCATTCATCTTTTCCAGCCTGGGACACTGGCTTCCCCGGCTCTCAGGCTTTCAGATTCACACTGAATTATACCAAGAGATCATCTTTCCTGGTTCCCCAGTTTACAGATGGCAGATGATGAAACTTCTTGGCCTCCATAATCACATAAGCCAGTTCCTATAATAAACCTTCTCATATCTGTATATTATGTCCTATTGGTTCTGTTTCTCTAGAGAATCCTTAATAATAAACATACCAAATGAGATACAGGGTAAATAATTATTTTATTTATGAACGTTTCTTTCAAGAAGTTCTCGCTCTTTTATAAGGCAATCTTCTGTGGAGGAAAGAACACAGATTCCAGATTTAATTTCCAGCTCAGCCATTTTAATAAATGTGCGTACCCAGGAAAATTAGGTAACCTTGCAGAGCCTCGGTTTCCTCATCTGCTGACAGATTATCTTGGTAATTGAAGTTTGTGCTGAATATAGATCCCATACCACAGTGCTTAGAATATAGAGGGCACTCCTTTCCAATCTTTCCACATAGTGTTTACCCATAAATATATTGTTTTCCATTGACTTTTTTTTTTAATTTTTTTTTAACGTTTATTTATTTTTGAGACAGAGAGAGACAGAATATGAATGGGGGAGGGACAGAGAGAGAGGGAGACACAGAATGGGAAGCAGGCTCCAGACTCTGAGCCATCAGCCCAGAGCCCGATGCGGGGCTCGAACTCACGGACCACAAGATCGTGACCTGAGCTGAAGTCGGACGTTTAACCGACTGAGCCACCCAGGTGCCCCTCTACTGACTTTTTAAAATGTTTCTAGATGTACCTAATATTTATTTCCTTTTAAAATGGGTCTTGTAGGGGCGCCTGGGTGGCTCAGTCGGGTAAGCGTCCAACTGCAGCTCAGGTCATGATCTCACAGCTCTTGAGTTCTAGCCCCATGTTGGGCTCTGTGCCGACGGCTCAGCCTGGAGCCTGCTTGGGATTTGGATTCTGTGTCTCCCCCTCTTTCTCTCTCTCTCAAAAATAAATAAATAAACTCTAAGAAATAAATAAATAAAACGGATCTTTTAAATTTTCTCTAGATTCATCAAATGTTTCTACAAAGTTGCCTTTAATATTTCCCGTTTTGTTTCTTCTGGAATCGTCCACAAAAGTTAGACTGTGAGCTGAACCAGATGGCTCACCCATTTTCCCAATCGGCCCAGAAGAGTCAAGATTTTGTAGCATCTTTGAAAATCAGGGCCATCTGATGACTCTGACTTTCATAAGGATTCCTGAGGAGTAACCCAAGAGAGAACATCTGAAAGCATATGTAAATTGCCCGGAAAGCCAAAATATTAAAATGAGAACATCTTGGACTGTTAGACACCCCTAAACAAGTCAGCGTTGAGTTTCTCCTTACTTTGCATTAGCGGGATGGCATGTGGTTAGATTGGCCAGGGCCAGGGAGGTGGCCTCCCTCACTTCTTCACTGTCACTCTTCAGCAGCAGGATTAACTGTGGAATCCCTACAGAAAAAGAGGGGGAAGATGTGGGTTTGTGAATACCCAGCTAAACTACAACTGGGGACCTAAAAATGTTCGAAATGGTTTTTTCTGCTTTGCTTACCCTGGTTATTGAAAAATTCCTTGCTGCCCGTATTCTCACACATTGCCGAGATCGCTTGGGAAGCGGCAATTTTAGTTCCGTCGTTTTCAGAGCCCAAAAGGGCTACGAGGCATTTTTCAACCCCTTGTTCGTGAAAAAGTTTTCTATTTTCAGCTTTCATAAACCAAAAGGAAAAAAATTAATCAGGATTTTGCCGCAAAAAACCATGCAAGGGTAACTACTTCCTCATCTAAAATGTGACAGGAGGTTCCAACTGTTTCTTAGCCTCAGTCACAAAGCTCTACACTAAATAAAATATTCCCCCACTCGACCTCTAGAACACAGTGACTATGCAAAGTGACTTATGAATATTAAAACTTAAGTTCCTGTTCCCTTGTATGATATCAGTACTAGGGCAAAGAAAATTCTACGATAAGAAAGAGGCAAGTTTCAGATTTAGCGAAAATTTATTTAACGCCAGTCATGCTGCCTGGCACGGTGCCGTGTTCACACAATGCTGTCTTCTCACTAAGGACAAAACCCTGTTTGGGGCGCCTGGGTGACTCAGTCGGTGAAGCGCCTAATACTAGATTCGGGCTCTGGTCACGATCTCCCAGTTTATGAGTTCGCGCTCGCACGGGGCTCCGTGCTGGCAGGGTGGACCCTGCTTGGGATTCTCTCTCTCCCTCTCTCTGCCCCTCCCCAGCTCTGTCTCTCTCTTTCTCTCAAAGTAAATGAATAAAGACTTTTTTTTTTTTTTTTAGAAAGGACAAAACCCTGTTTATTTGATGTTTATTTAAAAAAATTTTTTTCAACATTTATTTATTTTTGGGACAGAGAGAGACAGAGCATGAACGGGGGAGGGGCAGAGAGAGAGGGAGACACAGAATCGGAAACAGGCTCCAGGCTCTGAGCCGTCAGCCCAGAGCCCGACGCGGGGCTCGAACTCACGGACCGCGAGATCGTGACCTGGCTGAAGTCGGACGCTTAACCGACTGCGCCACTCAGGCGCCCCTGATGTTTATTTTAAATACAAAACTCAACATTTGAAGAATGCCTAGACATACAAACTGGTATGCTGGAGACTCAAGAGAAAAGGAGAGAAGTAGAGAAAGTCAAAAAGAGTAAAAGAGAATGAGCCCAAGTCTTCGGGGTTTATAATCTTATATCAAAAAATCATAATCATTTTTATCTCAAGTTACAATAAATGCTGTTGCAGCAAAAATTACAATAAATATTTAATTGCTAAATTACCATTGATATAACCTAAACATACATTAGCATGTTTTTTTTATTTGAAAACAAATAAAATTGTGACTCTAAGAACATACCATGATATTCACCCCATTATGAAACACTTAATTAAAAATCAAAGTATTTTCAATGTTCTTTTTGTTCCTTACTGTTTTTCTCTTGATTTCCTTTCATTTTTTTAAATAAATGACAACCTCATTACTATACTAAGCAAGCACTGCATTAAACTAAATTAGAACGTTAAAACTTCATTTTTTTGTTTTGTGTTCTCCAGCTATTTTTTAATTTTAATTTTTATTATTTTAATGTTTTTATTTTTAGAGAGAGAGAGACCGTTTTTATTTTTAGAGAGAGAGCAGGGCAGAGGGGGAGAGAGAGAGAGAGAGAGAGAGAGACGGAATCTTAAGACAGAATCTCCATGCTGTCAGGTCAGAGCCCCATGTGGGGCTTGATCTCACAAACCATGAGATCATGACCTGAGCCAAAATCAAGAGTCACATGATCAACCAACTGAGCCATCCAGGCATCCCGTAAGTTACTCTTTATTAAAGGCATGTACTAGAAAAAATATATATTAAACCAAACTCAATTTTAATGCCGTAAGAGGAATCAGAGACTAGTTTGAAAAGAACCAGCTTACAAATAATTCTTTGCTAATTTGTTTACAGTCCTCCAAAAAGCCTCATCGTAGGTTTGACTTTCCATTAATTACCCTTTGAAGTCAATTTACGTGGTTAAAATAGAAGGACGTGTAAGATATGCTCTTAGGATGTTGATATACATAAGAGGAGACTATTCTGTTAGAATAAAAAAATCTCTGCAAAAACCGCCCTACTCATTTCGATCGTATGTGACTTCTGCACGAGGAACTAATTCATCGTTTACATATATTACAACTAACTTGTGTTTCTAGGAATATTCTCAGAACTTATCATAACTGCTTGTCCACTTTAAAGTTAATAGAGGATCTCTGTCTTCTTTTAACCGTGAGTTTTTTCAAATTGCCCCCTTTTTCGCGGAAGCGGAACCACACTCACATGTCACCACCTTGGCAATCACTTTTGGCCTTTGTTCATTCCAAACACAGCAACCTGGTCACAACTGGCACTGGCTACATCACTAACACTTCTGTTCATTTGTCTTAAACCAATTATGAACCATGTCCTGTAATCCTATCGTTTTAATCCCTTGCTCCTTTCACTTAAACTGAGGATTCAGGCAGGTCATGACTGTTTTACTCTTGTAAATGGTGCGATTAATACTTAAATCTCAAGTATGTGGCTTCTGAAAGGTTTTAAAATATATGTAGTCCTGATTAGTATTCCCTGAATAAAAAAGATCTGAAACTCTTCTAGAGTCTTTGACCTAAAATGCTTAGATTTATAATTAAGATTTCCCTGATAGCTCTAAATTAACTTTACTAAACAGAACACTCTGAGCATAAGTTCTACCAGGAAAATCAGCCAGAAGAATTAATTTGTCAAGACTAACTTTGGAGTATGTGGTTGTCGCATTCAAAAACCAGTATATACACAATTCTTGGAAATATTTTTTTTAAAAATAATCTAAATACCACGGGCAATTAGTTTCTCAGCCCTGCTGGGAGTGTTCTCAAAATCCAGCTGCGTTCACCAAACCTCAAAAGTGCTGACTGCAGTGTGGCCATAATAGATTTAAAAGATGAATTAACATATTAACCAAGTACCTTCACTGAATTGCTGCACCGAGAAGTAAAGTATTTATGTTTTAATTATACAGATAATAAAGATGGCAAGGTAATTATGCTACTAATAGAGTAATGTCCTTTAAAGATAACATTTGTGCAGTATCACTAAAATAAAAAGCGTGAGGCTTTGTAACTGGAAATAAATCTGCACGTAATGATGCTTTTCTTCACCCGCTCTCGGGAAGTTGCTATGGCGCCACCTTTGCTCCTGCTGAGATGTTAATGTCAGTTCATAAACCTCCTGGCAACGTGGTAATTAACACCTTCCTCCTCCCGGTCCCAGGTCAAAAACTGACTGATCTGGGCTTTCGACTGTGGGGATGCATGTTAAAAAGTACTCAACAAACAAAACTTAAAGAATGTGTATTAAGGGGCGCCGGGTGGCTCAACGGGTTAAGCGTCCGTCCGACTTTGGCTCAGGTTATGATCACACGGTTGTGAGTTCGAGCCCCCCATTGGTCTCTGTGCTGAAGCTCAGAGTTCAGAGCCTGGGGCCTGCTTCGGATTCTGTGTCTCCCTCTCTCTGCCCCTCCCTTGCTCTCTCGCTCTCAAAAATAAATAAACATTAAAAAAAAGTTTTTTTTAAGAATATGTATTATGTGTCTGTGTGTTTTTGACGTGCAATGACAATGCATTCCCTAACTTACAAAACATTTTTGATGATGAAAAAGTAAGAAAGAAAGTTTTACGTGAATACTGATGGTTACATTATTCTTAATAACAGGATAAGGAGCAATATTTGTGAAAACCTACTTATAAATGGAGTTCTCTAACTGTGCAAATATCTTCTCTCATTCAGTAGGTTGTCTTTTAGTCTTGGTGATTGTTCCCTATGCTGTGCAGAAGCTTTTCATTTTGATGTAGTCCCAATAGCTTATTTTTGCGTTTGTTTCCCTTGCCTCGGAGACATCTAGAAAAATGTGGCTACAGCTGATGTCAGAGAAATTACTGCCTGTGCTCTCTTCTGGGGTTTTCTAACCGTGGAAAATTATTTTGAGACTTCATGATTATTTACTTCCAATACAGAAATATTAGGAGAGAACTTTGTTATTCCTTAGTAAGTTTTTAGTTTTTCATTGTCACTAGTTAATATAAAATAAAGCATCCTAGATCTGCCTGGGTCTGGCAGAGAGAAGTCAAGGCAGGCAACATTTGGTATAAAAAGGGGTGGACAAGAAACACAGGTAGGGCTTGAAAAGAAGGCACAGTATAGAAGGGAGGCAGGGAAGAAGAGGTGCTTATTGTCGATCTGGCCAAGTAAACAGCGTAAGGAAGTAAATAAACAACAAATAGAAGAGATCATCAGGTAAACGATGCGGCTGTAGGATTTAGGAGTTGGGAAGTCGATGTCAAATCCTACAAGGACTGTTTTGGCAGAATGGGAGAAGCTGAAGTCTCATGCAGTCGGTCGAGGGATGGAGATGAGATGAAGAGGTGAAGTTATTTAAAATTAACTAGTCTTTCAAAGAAGTTGATTGAGAAGAAAAGGGGGGAAAGATGGGGCTGTGGGTCAGGGACAAGTCGGGAAGAAACAAATTTCTGTAAACTACTCCTGGTCAATGAACAATTATGGGCTCCTCAGAATGTTCTAAATTTGTATCAGTTTCCTCCTATATAACCACTAGGACCAGGAGAAAATAGCACCCCAGTGTTGTAATGCCACATTAGTGGGAAAGCCTCATCATCATCCAAAACTGGGCGAAAGGACTCCATTGCCGTCTCAGTTGACGGGGTAAATAAGCAAGGGCATCCTGCAGGTCTTGTCTGATTATTGTAACTAGGCCTAGTTGATGAAAAAAAAAAAACCCATCAAAACATTAAAAACCACAATCAGGAATGTGTAATAGGTATGGAAGAAAGAGAACAGAGACGGGCTAAAATAATAAATATTCCTGGGGGAAAAAAAAAACAGTAAATAAAACAAAAGTAATAACCAAAAGTATAATGGGAAAAAAGTTTCCTGAGTTAGAAAACAAAAAACAAATCCCAAACCACGATTCAGTAGATGACAAGACTTTTCTGTTTCAGGCAGAGAGAGAGGGTGGGTATGTGTCAGGCACATTTTGACAAAGTTTTTTTTAACTTATAGGATAAGGGATTCAGCACAAATACAAAAAGAAAATATTTTCTATAAAGAAGAATGGAAATCAGACTGCCCTTAGACTCAGATGCTACAAAAACAAGGTTCGTAGAA